TAGGGGGTGGAGGGAGAGAATAAAGGAGCAAAACACTAGTAGGCTACTGTGCCTTATGACTGTACATCAGTTTGTCTTAGTCTTGGGGGCCAATTAGGAAGTTGATCCATGGATTTCTGGCTTTTTGCCCACTATAGTTTTAACTTGACCCACAAATGCAAACAAACATCCTAATGACTTGACCTCTTTGGTCAAGTATGTCCCTTGCCATTTCCTTCCAAGAAAGCTGTGATGTTCTGTCACTTATTTCTCTGCATTCAGAGTAGCTGTAAATTCTCTCCCACACATCCTTTTGATGAAGAATTGCTGGACGACCTGAGCCAGTTTATTCCGATCTTGTGCTGCAGCATGGCACATAGTCTGTAATGAGACATATACCCAATCCTATGTGACAGAAAGATGATCTACTCAGTTCTAGAATCCTTTGTTTAAAATACAGGTGGTTAGACAAAAGATTTAATTGGAAGGAGTAAGTAATAGGAGAGGAACTCCTTTCTCTAGATCTGTACACAGAATTGCTGTTCAAATCAAATGATCGAATACCTGTTCTCAAAGAACCTAACACCTTTATGCAGGCTGTGTTAGGTGCCCCTTCTCAGTGGTGTCATACTCTGTACCCATGCCTCTAACTATATTTTGTAATTACCTGCTAATATGCCTTTCTCTTTTTCCTTTTTTTTTCTTTTGAGTTGGAGTTTTGTGCTGTTTCTGTTGCCCAGACTGGAATGCAGTGGTGCAATCTCAGCTCACTGCAACCTCCGCCTCCCGGGTTCGATGGATTATCCTGCCTCAGCCTCCTGAATAGCTGGGACTACAGGTGCATGCCACCACGCCCAGCTAATTTTTGTATTTTTGGTAGAGACAAGATTTCTCCATGTTGGCCAGCTGGTGTCAAACTCCTGACCTCAGGTGATCCACCTGCCTCAGCCTCCCAAAGTGCTGGGATTACAGGTGTAAGCCACCACGTCTAGCCTAATATGCCTTATTCTTTGCCCCCATCCTCTGCACTAATCTTAAACCATGAACTCTGGGAAGAAGACTGACTGTCTGTCATTCTACCTGGCACATTGTAGGTGCTGGAATAAATATTTGAATAGGAATGTTAAAAAGAGAAATAAGATTACCAAATAATTTTCAATCCTGGTAGAACCTTTAAAACCTCTTCTTCAATTGGCTTTGTCACCAACAATATTTTAGCACTAAAATGCAGATTTTAGTAATAAATGCCATTTAGATTCAGGTTGTAGCAGTTTAGTCAGTAAACTTTTGTTTCTCAAACTAAGTCACTGCTTGAGTTTTAAAAATAAACTAGAATTTGATTGGTCTGTTTTTATGGACCTTCTTAGTGATATCCTCCACCACCACCCAGCAATCCTCTTAGCTGCCTTGTTAGTCTTAAGCACACCCTATTCACTTTGCATAAGTACTCTGAGTCTCTGTGATGTGCAGACAGGCACTGTAACAGGAGCATGTGGTTTAAATGAAGAGCAAGGCATATAAATAAAAGATTATAATATAGTAAGAGCTACCATGGAAGATTGTGCAGTGTGAAATGTAAATCTAAGGTAAGGCTGTTAGAGAAAATATCTCTGAGAAAGTAATGTTTGAGCCTAGTCTTAAAGAATGAGGGGTTCAGATTTGAGGAAAGGAGATAAACATTACAAGGAAGGGAAACAACATATGGAAAAGCCCAGAAGCATGCAGATACGGAAATGGGAAGTATGTGTAAGGGGGAGTGTTGGAAGATGAGGCCAAAGGAAGAAGGCAGATCTGAGTGGATGCCTAGGAAGTTGTTTGGAATTTAATGTGTAGGCCAAAGGGGGAGGTCATTGAAACATTTTAGACACATGTCTTCTTCCCTTTAGAGATTTTTTTTTCTTGTTTTTCCCTATCATCACTACTACTTTCTCTGCTAATGCTTTGTACCTACTTCCCTGCCAAGATGATTTATTTATTTGATTACAGTAGAATGGTCATGGCCAGGTGTGTTGGCTCACGCCTGTAATCCCAGCACTTTGAGAGGCTAGGTGGGCAGATTGCCTAAGGTCGGTAGTTTGAGACCAGCCTGGCCAACATGGTGAAACCCCGTCTCTACTAAAAATACAAAAATTAGCCTGGTGTGGTGGCACATGCCTGTAATCCTAGCTACTAGGGAGGCTGGGGCAGGAAAATCCCTGAAACCCGGGAGGCGGAGGTTGCAATGAGCTGAGATTGTGCCATTGCACTCCCCCCTGGGCAATAACAGCGAAACGCTGTCTCAAAAAAAAAAAAAAGAAAGGTCTTAGATTGCAGTTTAGAACATCCTAAAAATCAGGAAGTTTGTGTCCCCTACCCCCTAGTCACAGTAGATTGTGACCCTGATTGCATTTTGTTGCTTGAAAAATTGACCGACCATGATTATCTCATTCCATTCTTACTGTTACACGGAAAAAACAATGACACCTTCTTGTATAAAAATAATTCCATATATTCTACTAGTTTACCAAAATGAGAGTGGACATGAAAGCAACTGAATTTGTACACTTAAGACTTTCTTAATATTTTGTGTTTAACCCTTTTTAGGCTTTTCATTTTCTGGGCCTAGATTATAAATGGGCACATGAGACTTGAAGTCAGGAGAGCTTCTTCTCTGTGGAGCTACTAAAATGCTCCTGGTGATTGCTCTTTTCATTTTTGACCCTTTGCAGTGCATCCACAATTGTATGGTTGTTTGTGTAGCACCGTCTTAGCCAGTCTCATAATAAAACATTCTTTGGAATTTTACAAAGATGTCATTCTTGGCACCTAAACAGAGAATCATTTGTTTCTAACTAATCATTTTCCATTTATAAACCCTGTTCAATTAGAAAATAGTTTATGAATAGTGTCCTGTTTTTTAAATGTAATTTAACATAGCAGGTGGCAGACTTGCATTTTATATTACCTGGATGTCTCAAGCCTTTATGCTTACTCATTCACACAGGTCTGCTAGTGAAGCCAACCGTAGAAGGTGTGGGAGGCAGGCAAGCCTCAGGGGAACCCAGGGCTCATTTGGTTCATTGCTGCCACCTGCTGGGGCTGGCTGATGGAATGGGAAGCTACCCAACAGAGAGCTAAGCCATCCTGAAGGAACCTCTATGTAGTTCCAGTACTAATCAACTATTATGTTTCTAGGTGACAATCTACCCCGGACTGAAAGGACTTTATGAACTCTAGAGCGTTATATCAGTCAGTGTAAAGTGGTGTTAGATTATGTTGGTAACACATAATCTCCAGCAGTGATGAGGCTCAGAGAATGAAGAACACACTAAGGACTCAAAGATCCTAGAGTTTCAGAGCTGGAAGAACCTTAAACCAGATGTAGTATATGGTCACATGAGTCACTTAGGCACTTGTTAAAATGCAGGTTCCTGGGCCTAGCCCCAAAGACTTTGATTCAGTAGACCCAACATGTGTCTTATTTAACTAGCTTCCCACAAGGCTCTGATACAGGTAGTCTAGCATCACTGCAGAAGAGAAGAAAACTATCTGAAATATCCAGACAAGATAATGGCTTCTCAGCCATTATTCTTATTAATGCCTCGTTTCAATCAATAAGAAAAATTCATCAATGGGATGAGTCATCTTCATACTGTAACTGGTTCTTTGAAGCATACGCGTACAAATTATTGTTAGATTGCTTTATTCTGCAACCACCACCACAACAAAAGAGTCACTTTTAAATAAATAACTTTCCTTTCTTCTCTTAGAAGGAAATTCTGTAATTTATATTGGTCAGCTTATTGTGGAATGCTTTTTGACCTTGAGCATTGGCACACAAAGGTGGAGTTTCATATTACACTTAACATAGCCATTATTTCCATGACTGTATTAATCATTTAGTAAATGTTCATTGAATTTTTAGGGACTTAAAACACCATCATACAGATTCTTTTCTTTGGAGAAGTCAAACACAAAGCTGCATCCCCGATAGTTTTTGAACATGTCTTATTATCACTTCTTTTTTTTGTTGTTGTTGTTGTTGTTGTTGAAATAGAGTTTTGTTCTTGTTGCCCAGGCTGGAGTGCAGTCTGGCTGACTGCAACCTCTGCCTCCCGGGTTCAAGCAATTCTCCTGCCTCAGCCTCCCTAGTAGTGGAGATGGGGGTTTCACCATGTTGGCCAGGCTGGTCTCGAACTCCTGACCTTAGGAGATCCGCCCACCTCGGCCTCCCAAAGTGCTGGGATCACAGGTGTGAGCCACCAAGCCCAACCTTATTACTTCTTATTCCCTTCTCTGTGTGGCAAGCTTGGCTAAAGTACAAATAGTAGTAAATACAAATAAGAACTCTCTTACGTAGGAAAAAATAAGTGGCCTAATAACAAATTTGAGAACTCACCTTAGAACTGAGAATTCTGAATACCTGTCATATGCCTGCTTGATAGAATATTCTCAAAAATGTTAGTCATTTTTTAATGTATGCTACTGCTCCTGAAACTACTGGTTTCAATCTGACTGTAAACTGAGTCCTTGAGGCCGCTGAACTCAAGGGCAGATTACACTTGGTGTACTGTGTCACATTGAGTGAGGACCAGTAATATTTTCGTGTATTTCAGCTAATGTTTTTTGTGTTTGTTTGTTTTAGCTTTTAAGTTGTTGGCATTCAAGACTTTTATCCCCTTTAATGCAAATGATCATATATTTAGTGCAGTGATCATATCACACATGTAGAATCAAAAGGCAGTTTATCGAGCCTCCTTAGAGATAAATCTTGCTGAGCTTTTAGGAGCATTATTATTATTATTATTTTTAGATAGAGTCTCGCTCTGTCTCCAGGCACCAGGCTGGAGTGCAATGGCACCATCTCGGCTCGCTGCAACCTCCGCCTCCCAGGTTCAAGCAATTCTCCTGCCTCAGCCTCCCAAGTAGCTGGGAGCATAATTTTTATGAGTTGCATACATGCTTTGGCATAGCATCTTATTTTAAGTTTTGTTTGCTACCTTTATAATCTCATTTATTAGGGTTTTTTGTTTTTGCTTTAGGTGTACCTGAAGGAAATCCTAAAAGAAATTGGTGTTCAGAATGTAAAAGGGATCCACAAAAACACATGGGAGCTGAAGCCAGAGTACAGACACTATCAAGGAGAAGAAAAGAGTGACTGAGATGACTCCTAGCCTGCATGCTAGTGAAACAACTAGCAGTGATGCTAACTAAGCAAAAGGCGCTGATACTGGAAGGCTTGAACACCCTATGTTAATAGGGGTTAAGTGACAATACTTTCATTTCTCTCAGTAAATTTTTTAAACCTGTAGTTCTTGTAAAGTTTCTTAACTGGTTCGTTTTGCTTTGTTTTGAGGAGAAATAAGAAATTTATTTCTGGACTTAACTTGTATTAAACCAGATTATTCACAATGGGAAGAGGGGTTAGAGGATTAAGAGGGTTTTTCTTAAATATTAGCTTTAAACATGTACAATTAGGAAATGTTTTTTAAGTGAGGGCCCTCTAACCTTGCTGTTATCTTTGAGGAGCTGAGGTAATGCAGATCCAAAGAGAATTGTATAGCAAAAAAAAAAAAAAAAAAAAAAAAAAAAA